TCTAATTCCGATTGCCGCCAGACTGATGAAATATTTAATTCAAATATTCCTCAATGCTAAATTATTCAGTTTCATTTGCGTTCGTCAAAACAAACCCGCAACCCGAAACCGAAATCGAAACCCGCAGCCAGCAGCCAGCAGCCAGCAAAACCCGCAATCGAAACCAAAACCAAAACCAAAACCCCAGTAGCTCCAACCCCAAAAACCAATATCTCACTCATTATTAATTCGAGTTTTGTTTGGACAACTCAAATCAAGTGCCAAAGTTTCAACTTAATTGTGGATAATTATTAAAGCTGTGGCCAAGGGGAAATATTTATATTTGAATTAGGTTCAAAGCAGTTTTCTATTCCTATATCGGGTATTTTCTTAATAAAATCGAGATAAAGTCAAGAGCTGTTTTATGGTTCAGCAAAGAATTGCATCAGCAGCGGGCTGCCGACAGCTGCCATGGGAACAATGAATCTACAGGGGTTTTTAGGGAACCCCCCAACTCCATACCCTGCAGCAGAGGACTCCTGCCTCTTGTTATGATTATGACAAAATAACACTGACATAATTCCAATAAAAATGAAATTGCCGTAACACACTGACTGACTGACAGCCCTGCCTCCGCCTTTGTCCGGCAGGTGAACAAAGCTTCATACAAACGGAGTGGCAAGCGGACAGGCAGTCAGGTGGGAGGGAAACGCAACGCTAGAATGTTGAACAGAGTTTCCTCAAGCAGCTATCCCAAAGTATGCACCTGGGAGCAGCTGGCCCATGCGTGTGTGTGTGTGTGTGGTGCTGGTCCTGGTTCTGGTCCATGTTCGTACTCGCATCAAAATGGGCAAAAGGCGTTGAAGCAAAGCAAATTCAATTCACTACTGTTGATTCTGGCCCTTTCGTTGGTGTTCTTTTTTGTTGTTTGATAAAAGGATGAAGACCCCAGCGGCAAAAGGGCCTCCCAACAAAAAGAAAAAACCCAAATAATATTAATATGCAAATTGAGTTTTTTAGTTGAGTGATCTAAGCGGATAACTGAGAGGACCCGGGCCAAGTCAAGGCGAACGAAAGCCTCCGGAGACCGACAGGCCGACAGACAGACAGATCCAGACCCAGAGCCAGACAGTAGGAGTCGGGGATTTCTCTCTCTGTCTTTTGGGGCACTTTGTTTTTGCTTTATTGATTGCCTGAGGGAATCCGGGACACACACACACACACACATGTAAGTATAAGTATGAGTACGTCGTACTGCTTAAATGCGAGTTTCGAATCAATTGAAATCATATTTTATTAAACGTTTACGAGGCCATTTTCCACAGCCGCCGACGGCAAAACGAGACATCGAGACATGAGACATCGACCAAATCAATAGACATCTGTGTATATAAATCAGGAATCTGTAGCAAATATATGTATGGAATGGGATGGGATGGATGTTGGACATGGACACCCGCAGATACATAAAGAAATATTTACAAGGAGTCATGCACCCACACACCGCTGCATACAGAGCCAGCGGCAAACGCATCAAAAGTATAAAAAAAAGACATAAAAACAAGTGGAAATCTCTGCTCGATATTGCGACCAAAAGATACCTTTTACAGCCATGTAAAGTTGATTAAATATCTGTTAGTTTTATGCCTGTTACATGCCCTCGCTTGGATGCAGCATACCCAAACATTTATGGCTACCGGGTATAGTTGGAATATATTTATAAATATCTATAGGGCCACAGGGGCGTACTCTGGGGTTATGAAATTGTGCTGATTCGCTTGGATTTTTTTGTTGCTGCGTGGAAAACAAATTCCAAGAGAAATTGAAAACAGCCAAACGCAGATTGAAAGCAAACGAGCAATGTGGACTCAGGCAAACAGAAGGACCTGCGAAAAGGCACGAACTGGGGCAAGTGAACGGGAAGCAGTTGCAAAACCAGAAGCAGCAGCAGCAGTGGCACGCCAATGCTCAGACTGTGGAAAACTGCCCGAAGGATTTGCCAAATGTCACGCAACTTTCTGCCAGAGTTTGGGCTGGCAAACACAGAGAGAAAGAGAGAGAGAGCAGCACCCTGCAAGAAATTGATTTATAATTACAGACACCACCAATGAGAAAGAGAGAGCACAGCGGAACTCCCGGAAGTAGGCCAACAAAGGCGGTTTGTAGAATTTAACTAAATTAGCCAGGAACAAGATAAATGAAACCGCCAGCGATTCCGACCACCCTCCGGGACAAAGATGAGGCAGTGACAGTGCGCCCCCGCAGTGCGTAATTTCCGCTGGGCAATTTTCTTGCTATTTTGTTTGTGAGTTTCCTTTCAAGTTTCGCCCTACCTGTGGCACACGTTGCGTATTAGTGATGTCCTACACATTTTATTTTTGTTGTTGGTTCCAGGAAATCTCCACTGCCAGTGGGAGTACCGTAGGAGCATCTATGTATCTGGCTTTTGTAAAATATATGCAAATTGGTTTATTTTCATATGGCAGGCAGACAGCGAAGCCTTAGGCCGAATGGACCTGGACACGTGTGTCCCCCTTCGCCTCTGTCCTTCAGCTCTTTAGTTGGACAGACGTTGAGGGACCTGAAGCCAGGTTCAGCATTGTCTAGACGTAATTGGAGGCCGTAGATTTAGTAGATTAATAATACACCAGAAATGAGCCATACGAGATGATTTTGATTTTTAAGGCGGGTGGAGAGGAAATATGGAAATTTATTTCCAAGAATATCAGAACCAACATTTCAAACACATGTAGAAATGTAGCTTTAACTTTTTCAAGCTTTTCGATACTTAAAATCAAAGTCCCATCTGTGACACATTTGCATAGAACATGGTTGGCACTCCCAAATTTAATGAAGATGAAATACTTTCCTATTTCCTGAAAAACCAGAAGAAATTCCCTGATCGAAAACAAATAAAAATGTATATAAATGAAAAGTAGTTCACAAAAAAAAGATATAGCATGAATACAAGAAAATATTTACAAAATAGAAAATAGAAATATTATGGAATATATAAAAAATGCCAAGAAATATTGAAGAGGAAATCGAGAAAAACAGTAAACCAAATAAATCAAAACAGAATGACTCACCACCGATTCTCACAATACTTTAGCATATTTTCTGTTCTTATGTTGCGTGAAGTAGCTTTTGCTTTGAGGCAATAACGGGTTTCATCTTTTCCGCTCTTTATTTAGTTTTTGAGATACATTCGGAAACTTTCACACGCTTTTAGAAAAACTCACTTGAGCCGCAACCGCATGGCTCTCCTTGCCGTCATAATGACCATCGACACAAACACTTGCACTTAACACTGAGTGAGATTATTTATTTCCGCTCTTTCTTTAGTTTTGTGGGACATTCAACTGTTTTTCTCTCAATTCACTCTAACACTTCACTCACTTTAGCCGTAACCGCCTGGCTCTCCTTGCCGTCATAATGACCATCGACACAAACACTTGCACTTAACACTGAGTGAGATTATTTATTTCCGCTCTTTCTTTAGTTTTGTGGGACATTCAACTGTTTTTCTCTCAATTCACTCTAACACTTCACTCACTTTAGCCGTAACCGCCTGGCTCTCCTTGCCGTCATAATGACCATCGACACAAACGCTTGCACTTAACACTGAGTGAGATTATTTATTTCCGCTCTTTCTTTAGTTTTGCGGTACATTCAACTGTTTTTCTCTCAATTCACTCTTGCACTTCACTCACTTTAGCCGTAACCGCCTGGCTCTCCTTGCCGTCATAATGACCATCGACACAAACACTTGCACTTAACACTGAGTGAGATTATTTATTTCCGCTCTTTCTTTAGTTTTGTGGGACATTCAACTGTTTTTCTCTCAATTCACTCTTGCACTTCACTCACTTTTGCCGAACCCGCCTGGCTCTCCTTGCCGTCATAATGACCATCGACACAAACACTTGCACTTAACACTGAGTGAGATTATTTATTTCCGCTCTTTCTTTAGTTTTGCGGTATATTCAACTGTTTTTCTCTCAATTCACTCTTGCACTTCACTCACTTTAGCCGTAACCGCCTGGCTCTCCTTGACATCATAATGACCATCGACAACACTTGCACCTTATATTGAGTGAGATTATTTATTTCCTCTCTTTCTTTAGTTTTGTGGGACATTCAACTGTTTTTCTCTCAACTCACTCTTGCACTTCACTCACTTTTGCCGAACCCGCCTGGCTCTCCTTGCCGTCATAATGACCATCGACACAAACACTTGCACTTAACACTGAGTGAGATTATTTATTTCCGCTCTTTCTTTAGTTTTGTGGGACATTCAACTGTTTTTCTCTCAACTCACTCTTGCACTTCACTCACTTTAGCCGTAACCGCCTGGCTCTCCTTGCCGTCATAATGACCATCGACACAAACACTTGCACTTAACACTGAGTGAGATTATTTATTTCCGCTCTTTCTTTAGTTTTGTGGGACATTCAACTGTTTTTCTCACAATTCACTCTTGCACTTCACTCACTTTAGCCGTAACCGCCTGGCTCTCCTTGCCGTCATAATGACCATCGACACAAACACTTGCACTTAACACTGAGTGAGATTATTTATTTCCGCTCTTTCTTTAGTTTTGCGGTACATTCAACTGTTTTTCTCTCAATTCACTCTAACACTTCACTCACTTTAGCCGTAACCGCCTGGCTCTCCTTGCCATCATAATGACCATCGACAACACTTGCACCTTATATTGAGTGAGATTATTTATTTCCTCTCTTTCTTTAGTTTTGTGGGACATTCAACTGTTTTTCTCTCAACTCACTCTTGCACTTCACTCACTTTTGCCGAACCCGCCTGGCTCTCCTTGCCGTCATAATGACCATCGACACAAACACTTGCACTTAACACTGAGTGAGATTATTTATTTTTGCTTTTTCTTTAGTTTTGCGGGACATTCAACTGTATTTACTTTCATCTCACTCTAACACTTCACTCACTTTAGCCGTAACCACCTGGCTCTCCTTGCCATCATAATGACCTTCGACACAAACACTTGTACTTAACACTGAGTGAGATTATTTATTTCCGCTCTTTCTTTAGTTTTGTGGGACACTCAACTGTTTTTCTCTCAACTCACTCTTGCACTTCACTCATTTTGCCGAACCCGCCTGGCTCTCCTTGCCGTCATAATGACCATCGACACAAACACTTGCACCTTATATTGAGTGAGATTATTTATTTCCTCTCTTTCTTTAGTTTTGCGGGACAGTTAACTGTTGTTACTTTCATTTCACTCTAACACTTCACTCACTTTTCACTCACTTGCTCACTTGCTCCCACTTGCACCCACCTTGCTCTCCTTGCCAGATAGCACTTGCACTTGCACTCACTCTCACAGAAAAAAATTAAAGCTTGCTGGCACACCATTGCCGTTTCTTTTTCCTTTACCTTCTTTTCACTCAAATTCCATAACTGTAAACGTGCGTGGCGACGCAATGGCTTCTTTTCTGTGGTTTCTTTCAACTAGAGAAACTTTTTTTTTTCACACATGTTGAAAATTGTTCCTAATCCTTTGGCTTCCACCACTATTTATCACTTTGTCGACTTTTTCCGGCAGTTCAAATAACATTTCCCACTTTTACTAAACGACACGAGACCACATGCGCCGGCGCTTGGTACTTTTTGTAAATGAGAACGTACATATATAATAAGCAGTGCATTCAGACGCGGGCACACCACGCTACGCGCGATTTAATTGACTGTTTTAAATGTGTGCCGGGGAGAAACTGAAAGCGAGTGTTAAGTGTACATGCGTATGCAGCTCAAAGCTATTCGTTTAGGGACTTCGTTTCTGCTCGTCTCTTCTCTCCCGATCTCATAAGTTAAGAGCGCAGCAGCGCTGCCGGCTCAGAACTTTTTCATCTACCTGCAAAGAATGAAAGCGAGAGTTGAGCGCCGAAAGAACGAAAAGAAGGTGAAGAGAGAGAGGGTGGCTGCAGAGCAGCGCATGCAGCTCAGTGCTCTTCATTGATTTCGCCATTTGTTTCTCTTCGTTTCCCTCTCCATGTCACACTGCAAATAACGAAAGCGAAAGTTTCTGACTGAACAAGAGCATGCATATGCATGTACATAAGTATATCGTTGTGTAGATCACGTCAACGAAGTCAATGTCAATGTCAAGGCCTCTCTCTGTTATAATAACAGCGCGCTGTAACGTTACTAGAGAACGAAAGCGAAAGTTTGTGGCCGAGCATGGCTGTGGAGATCACAATGTTAATGTAGGTCAGGTCCACAGCTCACTTTCGTTTCCATTAGCTGTTAGCTTGCTGTTAATTTAACATGCTTCTGGAACGAAGGCCCCTTGTCAATGCCTCTCTCTCTCTCTCTTCCTCCCTCTCCCATAATTTGGTTGCGCTTAATGGCAGACGGCATTGCTCTCTCGGTTCGGCCATTGATGCTGATCAAGATTAGGCGTACTTAATGGGGTGGGAAAGAGCCTGCACAGTCGCTTCGAATTCATTTCATGGAGCTCTCATCAATTCACTATCATCGCAATAACAAAAGTAATATAAACTATGATAACTAACGTTTCCTTGCCCCCCCCCCCCCATTCTGCAGATTCAATCAAACTGTATAAAACCCAGGCATTGACACAACCGTTGCGTGACTCCTCTTCCCATACCCATTCCCATTCCCATTCCCAATTATGAGCACACTGCCGGACCCAGGGCACATCCCACCTAAGTGGACAGACAGACGGAGAGGACACTGCGACATCCTCGTAATACCAATACCAATGCCCGTTGTCCTGGTCAACCAAATATTTATACACAATAATCTGGTCGGTGCGGGGCTTTTACTTTTCGGCTTTCCTTTTTGGCTTCGCTTCGCAGTTTATTTATTTTCTTTGCCCATCTATGAGTGCTGCGAGCGAGTACTTGTGGGGCCAGCGGCCAGTGGCCAAGGTCCTCCACCATTAATGAAAAGAATATTTTTGCCCATTATGCGCCAATATGGTCCGCCATATTTCGGTTTATTTAATTTTGCGCAAATAAAACGGAAGTGGCGCTTTTATTTTCCTCTTCATGTCGCTCCCCATCTCCTTCGCTTTCTGCGCGTCGTCTAGTGGCGTTCGAGTGCCCCTGCCCCTCAGTCACCCTGCCGTTTTGCCCGTGCGCTACATAAAATTCAGATGTGAATGTCGCTGTCGCTGTCGCTGTCCCTGTCGATGCCGGGGCCCAACAAACTTGCGACAATGCTGCAATCGCTAGCTGCTGGCTGCTGGCTGCTGGATATTGGAATACTGCGAGGATAGTCTCTGTGGAGCACATTTTTTGGTGCATATTTTAAGCCAGCAATTTGTGTAGTTTCGCTTTAAAGAGAGAGAGAGAGAGAGAGTTGGAGCCGAAACCCGAGCTCTTCCGTTTTTGGCGCGCCAGTTGTGAGCTTTCCCAGGCGCTGCTAAAACTGGAAATGGCTGTCATTTCCTTTGAAGCGGGAGACAGTCTACCCACCTACAAACTCCCACACTCCCACTCCCACTCCCAGTCCCACTTCCATCAGCCATCAGCCATTAATGGTCGAAATGAGTTTTCATGCTCAACTATTTTGGCAGCAGCCGTTTTTGAAGTTCTTAAAGCGGTGCTGGGGATAGAGCAGGATTGGGTATGCATCTTTCGACCATTTGAAATATTAATTAGTAGCAGGGAAACGCTCTAGAGGAACTCCACTGCCAAATGGGTATGGGAATTGCTGCAGTATTTTGCTTGACTGACGATTTGCTGCACTGGCACTCATCCTCATTGCTGCTCCCCTTCCTTATAGCTTACGCAACTAATCTGTGCTCCATGTGTGTGTGTGTGTGTGTGTGTGTGTGTGTGTTCGGTAGTTGTTGGGGTTTTGCGGACGCATTTGCATTTAATCGGATTTGCGTACTGGCTGCCCAGATTACAGGTTGTACTTCTAATTCCAGTTGGCCAAAAGAAGAGGACGAACAGTCGATGCCAGAACAAACCAAAGTCCATTTCTTGTGCAATACATGCCCACATGTGTGTGTGTGTGTGGCAAGTGGCATCATGACAAATTAACATGAGCACAGCACAGCCAGCCAGCTAGCTAGCCCCACTCGACTCCATTCTCCGTGCTGTCTGTCGTCGTCTTGCGGCAGCAGCTGCTGCTGCTCCATTGTGGCATGCCCCTGCTCCATTTATAAATGTTTTGCTGCCTGCTGGAAACTGGCTGCAATTAGGTAAAGTTCCCAGTTCCCAGTTCCCAGTTCCCTTCCCCCTGCCTCAACAGATATTTTTCGATTTTTGATTTGTAGCCAGAACCAACCAGAGCAAGTGGCAAGCAATTGGGGCAAGCACTTTTAAGTAGCTCTCTTTACAGGGCAGCTGCCGTAAGCTTCGCTCTGCTCCGACTGCTGTTCGTAGCACAGTTTCCGCTTTATATCAAATATAAAAAATGACTCCTTTTAGACGTATTTGACAAAAGTTCTATGTCACTCACACTCACGCCTCTTGGACACACACACAGACACACAGACACAGGACACATCTGGGTTCTTGTTCCTGTCTGTGCCGTGCCGTATAGGAGACAAACATATAATTGCATAAATCAAACTCAAACATGCAACATGAAAAATCGCATTAATTTATCTGCTCACTGCTCATGGGTTTGTCTCTGCCACAGCCACAGTCGCTGCCTACTACGATGCGGCTGGGGCACATCATCCTCTAGATGCTGCTGTGGGGGCGTAACATATCCGCTTATGTCAATTTTTTTGTTGTGTTCTGCTACTTGGAGCGGCAGCATCATCAACTCATCCCGGCTGCTGCTGCCTGCCACTTCAGCCAGTTGTCACTGTCAGTTTTGGCTTTCAGTGTTTTGTCACTCCCTCCACACACACACACTCCACACCACTCCAATCCTAGCTCGCTGTCGCCTGGTTTTGTTTGCTTAAATGCTACATTTACTTTATGGATTGTTGCTATATTTTTTCTTCAACTTGCAAACACCCAAAATGTGGCAGGGCGTATAAATTGCACGTCAATTTTTATACACACACACTCGTGGCTGAGGGGGAGACACTGCGGAAGCTCAGCTGGGTGAGCCCTTGACTGATTGTGGCCCCCGTCGGAAGTTGGTTCCTTTTAATAACTTGCCCACACACACACACACTGTCACCACACTGACACATCCCTCCAGAGTGGCTGTGTGGGTAGTTTCATCCGCTAATAACCTGGTTTTATTTTCTTGCTTTGTTATTTTTTCTTTATTTGGGTCGCGCCCACTTTGAGTGTCTGCTCCCTGGCTCACGCTACATAGTTTAAAATTCTTTATAATTGGATTGTAGCATCTAAAGCTGAGGCGGGTTTAGGGCACCCACATTTTTATGGCCAGCCTCGGACCCCTGCCGACTGCATGTCAAAAGGATTTTACAGTCCCACTCAAACCCTTTTGCTGAGTGGCAGCAGCTCAGGCTGTAACCCTGGACTTCCAGGGCCCAGGCTACTCCTGGCTCCTGTCTCCTGGCTCCTGGCTATGTGATGATATGTTTCATTTCACACGGCAACGGCTGGCAATCCTTTCGACCGCACACAGACAACCCAAAGTCCCTGCTCCAGCCACAGGAGCTGAGATTTATGTTTTCTTGTAAACAAAATAACGGACATGCTTGAGGCTTTTGGGCAGTGCGCGTGGTGAGGGGTTTCGGCAGCCCATCATATGTGTGAAGTTGGGGCGCAGATCCAGCAGGATATGCCCATTCCCCCACACAGGCAAAACGGGTTTAGGCGCATGTAAACCTGCGTGTTCGATGTGCAGCTTTCTTTTGCCACCTGCCACTTCGTATCTGAATCGAATCATCGGGGGGGGCGGGGGGATGTGTCTGTTTGAGGATATGCCTCGTGTGTGTGTGCAAAAATTAATTATTCAAAGGCACATGAGAACGAGATAACTGTGCAGAAATCTCCTTCCTTTTCCGCACTTTTTTGCAACAGCATTTTGTTTCCTATTTCTGCTTATCTATCATTAATGGATTGGCAAGCATGCGCCTATAAATCTTAAATTACACCTAAAACTTGTGCGGAATTTGAATGAGAAATAAAGGCTTTGATTTGAAGTTGAAGTGCAAATTTGAGCCACAAGCAAACTCCACTCGAATGATGTTTCATTCCTTCATAATTCGTCGTTTATAATCGAAGCAGATCCAGCTGTAGGCAGATCTTGCAACAGTGCTCCAGGGAGAGCCACAACTTCAGCCACTTCTGGAGCCTTTTTGCTTCCCATGCATGGCAAAGCCGCCTTCAAAGACTTTGGCTAAATGAAAATTTGTGTAAGCCGCAAAAAGAAAAGAAAACAGGATGTGGGGCGTGACGAGCGGCGACGATTGCCAATCGAATTTAATGCGAATTTTCGTTTAAAGTGTCTGCAGCTGGAGACAGCCATGTCGCCTTTTGTCAGCACCCCAACGAAAAAAGTAGAAGGAACGCTGAGCCCAAGCCAAGCCAGCGAGCCGCACTAATCAACACAATTACGTGGCAGTCGAAGGGAAAACTTTTCTAATTGGATATGAAGACGCGCACATGCGACGCGCCTCCATGTGCTGAGGGTCCAAATGTTGTGACAAGAAAATGGAGCCATGGAGCCATGGAGCCATGGAGCTGGCGGCAGAGGCTCTCCAGTTCCAACTTCGCACCGCTGAAATGCTTTGACAAATTATTTTTAAGCCAATTTACAACTTGAGAGAAAACGTATCAGGAAAACATATCACACCCAGGGAAGAGGAAGGGCAGCTCCCATGGGGTGACTGGCATTTGTGGCACCACCAACCTGGTGGGGGCGGTGCGGGCAAGTATAATACGAAGGATAAAAGTGTAAAGTTGACATCCCAGGCACATTACTCACCCGAGGTGCCAGCCCAAGCCCAGGCAACGTGCAAAGAACAGAGACCAGAAATGAGCATGGCCAAGAGAAATGGTAATGCGGCCGACTGAGAGCCGATACCCCACACTCTCTACACCCCTTTGGGCAATGCTTGAGTTTATGCAGCAGTCAAGGGGGTTGTGTGTGTCGACAAAATGTCGACATCGTCTCGGCGACTCGGCGGAAACCATTAATTTTGTCACTTTCGGAAGTGCCAAAGTGCTGAAAGAGAAGGTGCACAGTCTACCCATCCAGTCTACAGACAGCAAACCAAACAAAACTTTTCAGCCAGCGAAAGATATTGAGAATCATGAAAATGCAATTAAAATCGGGCA